AGTTTTCCTCATTTGTAAATGATCAGTTATTTCCTGTTCTTCTCACTAACTGTTTAATCTGACCTCTCCAGGTCTGAAGCACGTCAGCGACGACCAGAAGACCCACAAGAACCCTGGTCTGAGGGGTCAGGGTGCCGTACGCACTGGGCCCAAACCTTTCGCCTCCCCGACTCCCCGACCTGCTGCGTCTGCCACCCCCACCCAGAAGCTGCCCCCGGTGTTGGAGCTGGACGGGAAGAAGTGGAAAGTGGTGCGTTGTTAGTTCAACAAACATGAGAAAAAGTTTCCTGAGAAATCACAGCTGGAGTTGAAACTGTTTAAATTAGCTTTTTTTATAAATTTAGTTTTTAAAGCTTGATTACTTTTAAACAATTTAATGTTTCAATTCAAAAGTAAAAGGTGGGATGAAATGGGAAAAATTGGAACATTATGGGAGTTGTTTGTTTTATGCTACAGTCATTAAAGAACCCTAACTAAAAAAAAAATTTCTGGCTGTAAGCTCCTGTGAGGACTTTTTGGGGGGTAATGAAATGAATACTGATGTGTCCTGATGAACTGTGATAGCACATGAGACCATCAGCAACAAGAAAAAAACAACCTATAAAGTTACTTTTAATGAATCTGATGTGGCGGGGGTCGGTGATGAACTGCACGCTGCCCAAGCAGACTTTATTTACAGCAAAGATTCTGAGTAAGTGATACATTGGACTGTTAAAGACGGCAGGATGAGATTATTTTTACACTTCTTACACCGAAGGACAGAATCAGCAAAGAGATGAGATACTGTTTTGTCCACCAGGGGGCGCTAAAATCAACACAAGCAAAAAGTTCCACACAGGAGCTTTAATCTCAAACTTTCTCCTGACGTAGTTTTCTCTATTTTGTGATTCACTCTTTGTTTCTGTCGTTCTGCAGGAAAACCAAGAGGACAACCAGAACCTGTTGATCAACAACACTGAACTCAAACAGGTGGTTTACGCTTTCAAGTGTAACAAGAGCACCCTGACGGTCAAGGGCAAACTCAACTCCATCATTATAGGTAAGAAAAAAAACAAACTGTGTGCTGGATGAAAACTGAAAAATACATTTAATCTATTAAAACTACTGTCGTCTTCTGGTAAGAAAACCATTGATTGGAAATGCCTGCAAGCAAACCTTTAACCAAAGTATACTCGACTGTAATTGTGGGTGAAATAAACTGCTTTTATAAATGTATATCTTGTGTTATGGCTATGATATAAAATTATCTAGAAAATCAATCGCACTTCCAAATAAATAGTTGTCTTTTTGTTTTTGACCAAATAAAATCAGAAGAACAACAAATCTTGTTGTTTACTTTATCCTCTGAGTGTTCATGAGGCTGCTTGAGCTATTACTTAATGATGATGATGGTTGTAACCAAACTAGTAGTGCCTATAGTAACACGATTTGTAATAAGGGAAGGTATAATAAGCTAAAGCTTCAGCTTACACCTTTTCGGTTAACATTTTCTTTTTGTCTTTTCTTGTATTTTTATTCTATTTCTACGCTTTTCCTAATGGAAAACTGTATATGTTGACTGAAATAAATTACTACTACATGTGCTATTTGAAAAATAAATGTGTAAGTATTGACTCATGAGGTGTACAGGATCAGGGTCAATCAGAGTAACCAGCTTAAAGGATTCTGCTCTACCTGCTCATGCTGCTTGAAAATGCAAATAATAGTAGATTAAAATAATCCATAAATGAAATAGACACAGAAAAGTCTTGACATTTACACTCCATACGTATCTCTGTGCAGCTAAAGTATACATTTATTTCTCTCCGTCAGACAACTGTAAGAAAACGGGCCTGGTGTTCGACGACGTCGTGGGCATCGTAGAGATCATCAACTGTAAGGACGTGAAGATTCAGGTGAGAACAACGAGAAGTGTTTCTAACAGACGCAGGGAGTCAGCTTTTCTGATCTCTGCCGTCTTATCACTCTTCAGTTTCTGTCTTTGCTACAAGACATAACAGAGAGAAACATACAGAACTTAAATAAAAAGTCTCCGCCCAAACTAAGAAGCTGCAAAGAATAAAGTTCAGACACTGCAAATAAGTCTCTACCTGTGAGATAAGAGTAGATGGATGCATGAGCAAGCTTCTAGACATCTTTCAGTAATATTACAGAGAATAAATAAGAGTGCAAAGTTTTCCACAGTCTCCAGATTTTGCCCTGCTTTCATACAAGCTGATCAGTTTGAGAAACATCACACATATTGTTATGGTCTTTTTTTGATATCCAGGTCATTGGTAAGGTCCCCACCATCTCCATCAACAAGACGGACGGGTGCCACGTCTACCTGAGCAAAGACTCTCTGAGCTGCGAGATCGTCAGCGCCAAGAGCTCAGAGATGAACATCCTGGTACCCAAAGGCGAAGAAGGCGACTTTGTGAGTGACATTTCTAAAAACTTTTGATGACCTCTTTGTTTGGCCTGTTGTCTTTCGGTGGACGAGTGGAGAGCTTCGTCCTCGGCCAATCAAATCTTCAGTAGATGATGTTTTAAAAAGTGTGAGGAGGATCTGAGGCAGCACACCTGACATGAAGTAAATGATAGATACTTCATTGATCCCGAGGGGAATTCAAAGCATCCAGTAGCAGGTTACAAAGACGTACATGAAACATTTGTTACAAATTAAACCACAAAACTGACGCCCCCCCCTCACATACATATATATTAACCCGAAAAAAAGATTTAAAGAATCCCCCTAGATGAATCAAACTTAAACTGTGCAATTAAAAATAGACTTGTACAAGAAATGTACATAACCCGTGCAGGGATAAAAATATGTGACATTTAAACAAGAACCTAAAAACAATTGAGGAAAAAAATCTGTAATTAGACCTGAAAATAAAAAACTGTAATGCTACTGTTCAGTAGTCTGATTACCTGGAGAGAAAAACTGTCCTCGAGGCGGTTCATTCATGCTCTTAAAACGTTTACCTGAAGGAAGGTAAAGAGTCCTGTGAGATGTGTAATGTCTTCCTCTTTCAGCAGCTGGTGGTGTAAATGTGTGGAAGCATTTTTTAACTTTCTACGTTGCTTTGTAGAAAGTGGTGAGATCTCGTGGATATGCAGTTTTTCTTGTGCCTTATTGACGACCTCTCTGCTGTTCAAGGACCAGGAGAGGGAGTCTCATTAATACCTGTTAAAAGACCATTACAGTACTTCAGTAGTGAGGAGATAAAAGCATGAATTATGGTCTGTGTCGTTAACAGTTAGCATTGATGGGGCGCGGTGGTTAGTGCGCGCGCCCCATGTATTGAGGCTGTAGTCTTCCAAGCGGGCGGCCCAGGTTTGAATCCAGCCTTTCCCGCACATCATTCCCCACTCTCTCTCTCTCCCTGATTTCCGACTCTATCCACTGTCCTATCTCTACATTAAAGGCACAAAAAACCCAAAAACAAATCTTAAAAAAGGAGAATGTGGATTGACGAGAGTACAAAAGAGAAAAACAACTAAAAAAAAGTCAGAACGCAGCAGCACAGAAGTCCAACCTGGATGACTGTCAAACATATTGCATAATGTTGTTATAAGATGACCATTACAGTACTTCAGTAGGGTGTGAGGGTCGTTAAAAGTTAGCATTGATGATGTTAATGAGGTGGTGAAAGTGTGACTGGATGACTTTCGTTTGCCAGCCTCGTCCTTTTTATGTTGCCCTAAAATAAAAACTCAGTTTGCCTTCTCTCTCTCTCTCTCTCTCTCTCTCTCTCTCTCTCTCTCAGGCGGAGTTCCCCGTTCCCGAGCAGTTCAAGACCGTCTGGGACGGCAAGAAGCTCGCCACCACAGCAACAGAAATCGCCGGATAGAAAGGGGGGGCGGAGAGTAAACCTGCCGCTCCTCCTCCTCCTCCTCGTCCACACCCATCCCCATTCCCTTTTTTTGCAAATTGCCTTCCTGACTGATCCACCGCCCCACCAGCTAACTCTCACACTGTAGACTGAGATTTGGACCTCATGTGTTTATATCTCCCCTCCCCCCCGTCATTTTATCAGCCAATCACAGCTTAAGCTGTCCCTTCCATCAGCCAATGAGAGGTCTGCTCGCTTTTTACTCCCTGGAGCAAATCCTCCAGCCAATCAACAGGGAGCAGCTTATCGTTCCAATGAATTTGCCTGTGAGCACTTTTCCAAAAAAAAACATTCCTGAGTTTTGCCAATAGCTGCGATGCTCTGTGTGATATTTCATATCTATCAGGATCATGCTAAGCTAAATTTAACTTGTAGACTAGCCAACAGGGGAACAAGAAGTCCCTTAAGACACAAGCACTGCAGCCAATCAGGATGCTTCAGGCTGTTATTCCTTTCTTCTTTTCCTGGTCAGGATGGGCTAATGTGTTTTTTTTAAGTCTGATCGATTTCTGTTATTATGCAATTCACTGGTGAAGCACTTCCACCTAAAGCCCTTTTACAGGAGATAAAGGCATCATATCACCTCTGCTGATGTTGACTGTATTGATATTAACATTCATAGTGGATAATAAATAAGTGTCAGAGCACATAAATAAAGAGTGAAATCACGTTATACACATCAGAAAAACGCTCCATCTTGATGATGTTTGAACAATTCAAAGCTGCAGGATAATTATCATTCCATGTGCTTTCCCCCTAAACCCACTCATAGGACATTCCCGAGTATAAAAAAAAAAACATTCCACATAAGGAGACGTGTAAGAGCAAGTCTGTGAAAGAGAGACTAAGAAGATAAAGACGAGGCTGAAAGTAATCATCGACTGTTTTTAAAACTCCGCCTCAGTAGTGGAAACATCTGCTGTAACCATCCGTATAAATATGAACAACTATTGAAGAGTCTGTAATAATTGTGGTAGCCACGTCTACTCTGCTCTCCACCGACTTCTTTTACATCGACTCTTTTTCTTTGACTTCATTTTTATTTAGTTTTTGGGTCCAAAATCAGAGATCTGCTCATTAGTACTGGAGACATCATTAAAAATGTTGCAATACACAATGTCTTTGTTTTTGTCTTTATTGGATTAAAAGTTTTGTTTTTAAATGTACAGATGCAAACACAAGAGTTTTACCCTCAAAGGTAAGTGGTGATAAAACACTTGAGGTTAAATATGAGGCGTGGTGTTTAGACAGCAGTAAAAACCGAGGCGATAATCAAACATTAAAAGTGTCAACATGCGACAAGTGATCAGTGCAAAAGGAATGGATTATGAGCTTTCTGCTTTTTCAATTTAAAAGTCGACTTGGTTTCAGTGGTTGAAGTCTGATTGAACGTTTGCTGCGAGAGGCTTTAAAATCAAAGTGTTTTAGCGTAAAAGTGGCAGCAGGTTAGCGTTGAACCACTCTCTGGTGAACTGCAGGTGGTCTCCCTCTGACGCCAGGAAAACCAGTTTTCCAGCTTTGTCCATCGCTGCCAGGCCCAGACGATCCTGCGTGTAAGGACACAATTTGAAAAGGTCACTAGTATGCAAAATACACTTCATGTTTTTCTAACACTAATGTGTCTCTAGTCTGTCTACAAAACCCCCAAAGATGAGAAAAGTCCATCCTCAATCTTTTTCCTGCTCCACTTTTCAGAAAATGTGTGCTCAAACAGGACGTTTGGTGACTTTCCCTTTGTGACATCACAAAGGGCAGTAGCCCCTCCCCCAGGTGGGTGACACTCCCACAGCTAGGTGTTTGTTCTGCCCTCTGAGTCTGCCGTCTCACTGTAAACAATAGGACATGGAGCGAAAAAGCCTGAGCCACTGAAGCCCTTCCAGAGAGGGGGTGTGGTCAGACACAGCTCATTTACATATTTAAAGGTACAGACACAGAAACAGCCTGTTCTGAGCAGGGCTGAAATAGAGGGGTTTATAGACATGATCAAATACAGGATCAGAGTGGATTTAGAACGAGAAACTTCACACATGTTTTGAGGGGCTCTGAGACTTTAATTAAACTGGTTGAGAAGGAGGAGAATATGTGACCTTTAATGTAAACTCAACTACAGAAGTAGTGGTTTATTTAAGGTTTCTTGCCAACCCCCAAAAAAGTTTTATAAATTACAAATTAAATCTTCAACTAATTGGAGAAAGTGTCTGGTTTGGGCGTTAAAGAAATATACGATATGTTAAAGACTGAACATACACTAACCTTTTTAATGTGCAAGCGTAAGGACGAAGTGTAACAACTTGCATAGTAACTTAAAAAACTAGGGAGGATTTTGTTTTAGTCATGAAGAAACATGACAACGTTTAAAGAGATAAAGCTCATCAACTCTTACCTCTTTGTAGAGGACGCTCTCCTGCAGAGTTTCCATCTCTTTGGCCTGACCCGTTTTCAGGAAGCCGAACCACTACGGCGAGAAACGGAACAAAAACAGTTTGTGATGCTGCTTTTACGACATGCACTTATCATCTGATGAAAACAGTTCAAACACACACACACATTTATCCCTCAATAGAAGTCTGCAGCATATTTAAAACTACTGTCCAGTGTCTGTGTTTGGGAGTTACCTCCGTATCAGCGGGATCCACTACGGTGTCCTGCAGGAACTTGACCATGACGAACTTCTCCAGCAGCTGAAGATTCTTCTTGTAAGTCTCATTTACAGCCTTAAAGCGGGATAAAGGACAAATATGACAAGATAGTAGGACAGCTGATTATGGCCGACATGATTTTAAGCTACAGAAACATCAAATTGAAATGAGCAGCAACATGTTCAAAAATCTCTTTTTGTGCATCTCTCTCTCCATTATCAATGTCTCTATTAACTCCATGCATCTCTGTGTCTATCATATGTCCATATATAAATCACATACATCTCACTCTACATCACATATGTCCATATCTCAATCACATACATCTCACTCTACATCACATATGTCCATATCTCCACCTCCATCCTAAACATAGATCTTGTCCATGTCTCAAAATCTCTCAGATCAAGACGAGACGGTATGGAGAAAATCATTTTCTGCATTAGTTGTAACTTCCTGTGTTGTTTTATTTTCAAAGACATTCTGTCATAAACACATAATGAGTTAAATAGTGGATTTTATTTGAGCTAATTGTTTGTTTCAATGATTTTCAAATTACCTTTTTTAACATTTCTTCTGCACGTTGTCATGCTTTTTTTTTTATGTGTTGTGTGAAGCACTTGCTGATACTGTTGCTGAAATGTGCAACACAAATTAAAACAGTTTGTTACATTTTTAGAAAGTGGTAAAAAAAAAAATGCTGTTGTCACTGGCACACTGGAGTTTTTACTGGATCTGATCAAGAAGAATTAATCTCTTAATAGGAACTATGACTGAAACTCAAAGCTGTGAAACAGACCTTATCACGCCCTTATTTTGTAAGACTAGGTTTTCAGCTTCAGTAGAGCAGCTCTTCAAACATCTGAGATACAAATTCTGACTTGAACATTTGTGCAAACGTTCTCTGCAGCTCTGCTCTCTCACTGACCCTCTCCTGGTTGACGTCGGCCAGAAACAGGCTGTGCTTCTTGTACAGGTCGTCGTTTAACGGGTCGTGCCAGTACTGCGCCTGCACCAGACTGAGCAACACAAACACAACAACCAGTCAGTCGTCCCCTCAGATAAACACAACAAGACATGTTACATATATTATCATCAGAATCACAAAACCAAAAAAAAACAAATCAACAGGAGAAAGAACAAAGAACATCTTACTGTTTCTGGACCAGGTCCGTGTAGGCGCCATTATTCAGAGCTTTGCGGATCATGTCACAGATGTGGGAGCTCTCACCGGGACACCTCGGCAGTCCATACACTCCTAGACGATAAGACCATAAACAATAAGATCCACACTGGGAAACAATCATTCAAAATGTTAACAGAAATGGGAAGAATCTTGGGGTGCCTTTCTGGAACATTTGGACTCATCTTGACAACATTTGCTTTTGTGTCCTAAGTTCAGTGTTTAGATGTATTCTCCTTAATTTGTATACCTCCTCTCAGGTGAGTGTGTGTGTGTTTCTGTGGAGTGGGGTGGAGGGGTAGGTAGGTGTTTATATCCATAAGTGGGGTGATGGGTTTTCATTTTTTCGTTTGGATTATATTGTCATTAAAATATCTTAATAATATATTAAAATTAAAAAAAAGGGGGTTCTGTTTTTTATAAGCACTGATTTAAAGAGTCTCAACAGTTACATGTTATTTAATGAAGCTGCTGAAGTGAACCTGTTGGACATTTCGTTTGGCTTTAGAAACATTGACTGTCATTTTTGGCACAGCTTCTTAAACCGTCACTCATCCTCTGAACCTGTTCTTTACAAATAAAGTAACGAACCAAAACGAGTTCTGCAAAGAGAAGTGAGTCGATCTTTTGTTCTGCTTGTTCGCGGTCACGTTACCTTGGTGCTGGCCCCCGACAGAGATCAGCGTTTTCATTGGTGGAGAGGGACAGCGCTGAGCCACGGCTCGTCTGGGAAAAGAGGAACCAGGAGGAGAATCAAAGTAAACTTCCTCATTGTTGTCAGGAGGTGAATAACTTTGACACATAAAAAAACATGCTCTGTGATTGGAGCTCAGGACTTCAGCCTTCCTCTGTGGCAGAGAAAAGATTTGATTATTTAATTCACTCTGCAGGAGAATCAGGCAAGAAGGGAAATCTATACGAACACAGAAGTCTTCCAATTTTCTTTGACAGTCCGAACAAAAACGGTACAGTGTCCAGAACAGTGGTTTACGTACAGAAACTGGCCCCCCTGGGAGAATCCCATAGCGTTATATCCTCCCTTCAACTTCGGGTTCTGGGCCAGCTGGCTGCACACCATGGACACCTGCTCATTCACATCCTTGAAAAACCCATTTTCTGTGTCCTGCAAGAGGAGGAACATGAAAAGTTCAGAGCATGACAGACACATTTAAAAAAAAAAGAGAAGAAAATGAGAGCGGCGCGGCGTCACGGTCTTACGACACATCAAAGCATCAAGCATCACCGTCTTCTTATGAATATTAACGGCGAGAAACGACACAGTGAAAGTTGTAAAAGGAGACGTTTTTCTGATGTAACCTCGGCCACTAGGACTGCAAATGTCACAGAATAGGATTCCTTACAAGTCGAATGGATGGATCAATCAAAGATGATGTGCTGCTGCCACAAATCACATCAGTGTCCTTTAGTCCGACTCAGAACAACACTTCTATTTGACTTCTCATTTTCAGTTTTCATCATCAGACTGCAAACTATACATGTTCTTTATCTGGACAGATTTTTTTTATGATCATATTTTATTATTGTTTTGCTTCTCTTTGATGTTCTTAGCTAAATGTGTCATATTTATATATTTTAAAATCTGTTTTATTCCTTTACTGTAACACATGTTGTGTTTTTCTGCACCTTGAAAAAGGCTGTGATGATTTTCTAAGTGGTCTTAAGGGCAGTTATTTATTTAATGAAATAACACTGATTATTCTGATCACGTCTTGAGTTCCTGAAATAAAAGAAACCACAGCTGAAGCTTTACAGAAACATCTTATAACAACATTATGCAAAGTGTTCAACAATCATCCGGGTTGGACTTCTGTGCTGCTGCGTTCTGACTTTTTTTTTACTCTCGTCAATCCATATTCTTTTTTTTAAAGATTTATTTTTGGGCTTTTTGGGCCTTTATTGGAGAGACAGGACAGTGGATAGAGTCGGAAATCAGGGAGAGAGAGAGAGTAGGGAATGACGTGGGAAAAGGTTGGATTCAAACCCGGGCCGCCCGCCTGGAGGACTACAGCCTCCATACATGGAGCGCGCACTAACCACTGCGCCACCAGAATCAATCCAAATTCTGAATAATGTTTTGTAAAGCTGTGTGGGTTGTGCAATAGCGTCACAGTGTTCCTATATGCTTTTATATTTCTTTACCCTTCTTAAGCTCTTAATTGGATTTAATTCAAAAAACTTTTTTGGACCCTGTGGAGCGTTTCAAAGGCAGACAGCAGGGCTGGTAAATTAATCAAAAAAATAATCGAACATTCAGAACCTCTAACCGACGTAATCGTGCCCATGTCAATTATTTTGATTGTTTTCAGGGCAGACTCACGTCCAAATGTGTCATATTTATGACGACGTTTGGACTCATTTTGTCTTGATGGAAGACGACACCGAACAAAAAGAAGCCAAACGTAAAACACTGCGGAAAAATAAAGCAAGTTTTTTTTTCCATCTGTTTTAGAGAAGTTCATTTCTTCCTTAAAACTAAAATGTGTCGTTTTCATTTCAAGTGATGCTTTGATTTCAGTTTCGAAATATTCAATTAATAACCACAAAATAGTTCATCAGACGTGCTCTCTTTCATTAGACAAAACCTCCCAGCTTTAAGAGTTGAGCATATTTACAGCAGAGAGCATGTCAGTGAACTATGAGGTCAAATCGAGGTCAAATGTTCAATTAATCGTGATGTTGATTTTTAGGTCATATCGTCCAGCAGACAGCAGCACAAAGACAGTGCAAGGTTGAAAAACAAATACAAAATGTCAATTTAAATACAAAAGTTAACACAGTAAATAGATAAAGTAGAACAGAGTTATAAGTGGACAGTGACAACAAAACTCTCAGATGTAACTAGAACTAGATCTCGTGCTGTGTTTTTGCATATCTTGTGCATAATGGGTAAAATACATGTTGTGTTGTTTTGGATTGGTATGTGCCTTTCTGTTCACATGTGGATGTGTTCATCTAATTGTGTTTTTTGTATTGATTCTAGTGGAAGCAGCTGAACGCGTGGCAGCACTTTGAGTTCCAGACAAAGGGGACAATGAAGTGTATCGTTATATAATATTTATGCACACAACAGATCATTCATATAGAAAGTTACAGTGAGAGAGTGTCTAATCTACTTTTTGTAGTTTAAGACAAAGTAGGATTTTTTTGGGGGGGATTCATTACGTTCCCTTTAAAATGTGTTTTTCTGTGTGAAAGTACCTCAATGACGTTCTGTCCGATCATCAGCGAGAGCACGTAGATGCCAGAGATGTCCTGCTCGATCATCTTCTTGATCGCCCCCATGCTGAGCGGGTTGCAGCAGCTGTCACCTGAAGGACACGTTCTGTTAGGAGTCTGAGAACCTGCTGCTGACAACATGTACGATCCCTCCCTCTCCTCTGCTCAGAGTATAAACGTTTCACCATCTTAGAAGATACACAAGATGCTCTTCTTTCTCCTCAGGAGGAATTGACTTCCTACCTCATTAATGGAGGCAGTAAGCCTTCACTCAATATCCCAGAAGGGGATTCTACACATGCCAAAACCTTTAAAAGGAAACAAGAAAGGCTTTCTCCATGTGGGAAATTATTTCAGAAAACCAGCCATGTTGGAAATTAAAGGTTACAACTGGAAAAACACCATCTTAGTGGAATCTATGTGTGCACATATTCATGTTAACGAGTTCACTAAATATACAGCTCTGTCTTTCTGTCCTTATTTCTCTGTGGATGGTATGAAACAATAATTAAATGTCTCGTTCCAGAAAAGCAGCTGAGGTTGTTTACTTGTTCATAAGGCTAAAAACGGGGGCAGGACTCTGAGCTCAGTCACTGGTTAAAACCATTAAAATATGTTGTTTTATTTATTTTCCTAGCCAGTAAACTACTAAAATGAGACGCCTTCCAGTGGCAAGAATTTCTCTGAGGCTTCCCGACACGTTCTTCTCTCAGATACGTCTCTATAGGAACATGTCACTTTATTAAATCTCTCGTATTAGTATGAAGATGAATGGTGTAGGCCCTCACCCATCCCATGCCACAGCACTAGCGGTAAAGTCCCATTGGTAGATTTGTAAAGCGGGCTGCTCGTAACCAGCAGCACTGGAGCAGCCAGGAGGAAGCACAGGAGGGCTGATGTCATCCTGGACCCTGAAACAAAAATATACAAGAGGTTCAACTCTGTTTTTGCACATGTACATTTAATCTTCCAAAGACTAGTAATGTTTAGTTAAATTTACTACCCAGTTTTTACTTTAAGTAAAAGTGTAAAAATAATGCTTTCAAAACTACTTAAAGTATAAAAGTAAAAGTAATGTGAGGGGGAGAAAATGCCATTAAGGACAAAAGCTTAGGCCGCACCACAGGGGCCTATAGTGCACTACCCCACCGCCCCAAAAAAACATTTTTCTAAAGGCCATAATGACTACAATGTTATATTAAAATGTTAATGTTGAAATATTTGGGATGCACCTTTTTCAGCCGCATTCATGCCCATTGAAAATAAACCAGTACAATGCAAATACATTAAAGAACCATACATGTGTACTACTGAGTATTAACATGTGTTTCATGGAGCAGAAGATATGATGACTAGCTGCCTAAAAGTATTGTAATGATGCAAAAAGTCAAACTTCAGAGGCATGTTATCAACAATCTTTACTGGAATGTAAATGTTCATCCAAGCTGAGCTGCAGGAATCTGTGAGGGCAACGGATGGAAGAGAACAAAACTGGACAAGAAAACTGGGCAGGCTTAGTAACAATTACTCTTGTATGGTCAAATTCACGCTATCCGGATGGCGCAATTTATCTAGATATGGGGTTTTTTTGTGTTCTTTTGAAGGATGACAATCCGGAATGAAAACGGAGTAAGGAGGATGTTTTTTTAAAATGTGAGGAGTAGAAAGTAAAGATAATTGTGTGAACATGTAAGAAGTAGAAGTAAAAAGTCAGCTGAAAAATAATTACTCCAGTAAAGTATAGATACACAAAACTTCTACTTAAGTAAGGTAACAAAGTATTTGTACTTCTTGACACGTCTGGTCCCAACTCACCAGGTGAGAAACACTGGTCTAAGACTGTCTCTTAGTCTAAATCAGAGTCTGAAGGGAACCTTTGTTTACTGAGCTTCTATTTAAACTAAATTAAATCATTAAGATGCTTTAAGTTAAAAGCGTTTTCATTATGAACTCACTGTTTAAAAAACTGTATGAACTAAGGGGAATAAAACAAAGGTAAGGACAAACATAAAGAACAGGTGTATTTCAGTAAAAGGTGTTGTTCACTTTCCAGATTTAAATTTTTGTTTAACAAAATCTAAAAGGTCGGTTTGATTACTTTTGAGAGTGTGACTTCTGTTTTGTTTCATTTGTTTTGTTTTGAAAGAAATTCTTAGAACACATTTTGTTCTGCTATGTTTTGTTTTTTGTAATCAAACTAGTGGTGTCTTAAATAATCAGATTTGTAACAAGAGGAGGTGTAATAAGATGAAGCTTCAGTCTTCACCTTCTAGGTCAAAAGAATGTTTTTGTTTTTTCTTGTGACCGAAATAAATGATTACAACTACTAATCATAAAATAGTTTGGTGTGTTGCTGTTTTAAGTACGTTTTCCTGAAATGATTTGCTCATACTGTCTGTCTCTGTCTGTCTTCATTAGATCTGTAATATTGAGGCTGTATCGGCCTTTTGCAGGTCGTCAGAAAGGTTTGCTGCGAGGGACCAAACACGGAAGTGAAGCTGTGACTTCCAGATCCAAGAAGCTTCAGTCATTTATTCTTCCAAAAACAGAACAAGATACTACAAACGCTGTTTTCGGATCATCAAATCAACGTGCAGAGCAGAGCAGAAACAGACACTGTCTCTTCCCTCTCTCTCCATCCAAACAAACAAACAGGTGAACAGGTGAACAGGTGAGTGCGGCCCATATAATCACTGCCATCACCACGAGATTCCGGTGAACACACCACACCACCAGGAACAAGCAGACCGCAAACAATAAACAAGTCAGTAAACAACCCCAAATACACAATCAGCTTCCATGTATGGCTCCTACAGGTAAATAAACATAAAGAAAAGGTAAACAACAGACTAATCCTGCAGCTGCTGAGAGATTAATATATGAAAACAAATATGAATCTGTTTTTATTCTGACAATGCTTTCAATGCATTCAAACGCCACTGACACTGACTCAGATAAATCAGCAGAAAAGGGAAAGTTAATTTATTAAACTGCATTAAAAAAGACTTTAAAGTGACTCCTGTGCAGGTTAGCCAGCCGAGGCTACAAGGAAGTGTAAATCAATAAATCACTCATAAAACACATTTTCTAAGAGGTTAAAGAAGACGTACGCTGCGAAGAACATTAAACATTAAAAAAAAGCAGTTAAAAAGCTTTATTAAACCCCCAAATGTATTAAGCTTTCGTTTATTACTTACCGTTTCTGTGTACTTCCTGCTTATGTCTGTCGGAGTGTTTGTCACGAGTGTGTTTATACGCAACAGCCAATCAGCAGGAGGGGGCGGGGTTAAACGCGAAGGGGGCGGGGGGAATGTCTAACTTGTGACAAGGCTTGTTTTCTTTTGTTTTTTTTTTTAACAAAAAATTCAGTGTTCCTGCATCGCTCGATTCATAAACCGACATTACAGTTCTCCAACCTCTTTGTTACTTTATTATTATTTTAAATATAAGCGGATACGTCACAGCCTGACGCAGCTTTTTTTTTTATTATTTAATCACCTTTCTGAAGCTGTTAGCAACATTAGCTTGCCATGCTGAGCTTGTTGCGAAAGTCATCGACAACAACATTCCTGTCCGGATTATAAAGTCAGTAATCTGAGAAGTTATCGCGCTGACTGACTTCAGGGAAGAGAGAGGAGGCCAGGTAGAGGAACACAGGATGTCTATACAGTACGACGAGCCCACATTAACGGGGAGTTTCGGTGTCGTGGGGTCTTTTCCTAAAAGTTTTGGTTATGGGGTGGAAGTGCCAGACATGGAGGAGATCTCCTCATCAGCTGACAAACCCAGGATCCTGCTGATGGGACTCAGGCGGAGTGGAAAGTCCTCCATCCAGAAGGTAAATCACCTTTAATGACCCCTCAAACAAACAGGACTGCTGCAGATCAGATCAGGGGTTGGGCAACTGGCGGCCCGGGGGCCACATGCGGGCCCCCCATCAACCTTAAATGTGGCCCTCAGGTTTAATCTGTTAATTGGAAGCATGATGAAATCTGCCATGAAATCATGAAACCCAGAAATATGTGCATCGTCATATCTGATCACTGGTGTGTGTTGAGTTCAATTTGAGACGTAATCGACTGTAATCGTTTTAATTTGGCCCCTCTGGCGGTGAGAATTCAATGAATGTGGCCCCCTTGCTGTGATCAAAGTTGCCCATCCCTGATGTAGATAGATAGATGGATAGATAGAATATTTATTCTCATTGTATACAAGGACACAACGAAACTTACACAGCAGCGTTTACAGAAACAACAACAAACATGTTTGTGGTGATATGAAAGAGAAATATGTAAAAAAAGTGGCCCATGCAGTTGCTGTTCAGTGAATGAATGATAATAATAATAAATAAATAAACAGTTGTGGTGACTGAGAGAATATATACAGTTCTTATTTTGCAGTGACTGATTAATTAAACAAATATAAATATAGAGATATAGTGCAAATAAGTGAAGTTATAGTGCAGTGACAGAGTAAATACAGTTCTTATTGTGCAGTGACTGGATGAGTGAATACATAAATAGACAGTTAAAGTTAAAGTGCAGTGACTGAGTAAATAAATAGACAGTTGTAAAGCAGTGAATTACAAAGTTATTGCACAAGTAATATTGAACAGTTAGCAGCAGTTATGAGTCTAAAACACATCTGACACAGCTGCATGTTTGTTGGAGCTAATTCTTAAATCCTGCAATTAATCCCAGTTTTATGAAAGTTATTATGTTCAGATTTTGTTGGAGCTGATTTGGAGTTGATTAAACTCTGGAATAATTATAAAAAGGTAAGGGGTGTTGCTGTTAAATATTATCGCCTAAAACAGGAGTTTTAATAGTATACTATCAAACTTAATTTATAACAATGGCGTGGATGAATCTTTGTAGTAAAGTTGAAAAGCTTCTCAAGCAAAGCAATCAAAATGACCTTTAAATTACATCAACACCCCTCAATAATAATATCACTGAACTGAACAAGCTGGAGCGATAATTGCACATATTCATTATTTATCTTTCTATCCATCTATGTTAATCCAAATGTTATTTTTACTCTTCTTAATTCAATTTATTTGTTATTGATTTTATTGGTTGATATTTTTTATTTTTTATTATTTATAATTTTCTATTATTGTATTTTTTATTTAACTGATGTAAATATGTTTGATTTTTAACTTCTATTTTATTTTTAATAATTAATTCCTGTTTCCTGTTTTCTTGAGCTGCTGTAATGCAAAAATTTCCCCCATGGGGATCAATAAAGTTTATCTTTATCTTATTTGCCCTGATTGGTGTAACCTTGATCACTTTTTTATAATAAAAATATCATGTTTAAGTAGATTTAAATAGTTATCCTCCTCTTTAATGTGTTTAGTGAGTAAATATTAAGTGCACTATGTTATAAGGTAAAATGTAGGCTGTAAATCATAGAGGACAAACGACATCAGACTAAAACACTAATTCCCTTTATGCATCTTTGACCAGGTTGTTTTCCACAAGATGTCGCCCAATGAGACGCTTTTCCTCGAGAGCACAAACAAAATCTACAAAGACGACATCTCAAGCAGCTCCTTCGTCAACTTCCAGATCTGGGACTTTCCCGGCCAGGTGGACTTTTTCGACCCCACGTTTGACAGCGAGATGATCTTCAAGGGAACCGGCGCTCTGATCTTTGTCATTGACGCTCAGGTTGGATGAGGCTGACGTTGTAGGTTTATAAAAAGGCTTCCTGTGCTGAGATGAATTAAGATGTCACTTTTTTGTTTTCTCTGTCTCCTGCTGTTAGGACGACTATGTCGAGGCTCTCGGGCGGTTACATCTCACCGTTTCTAGAGCGTACAAAGTGAATCCAGACATCAACTTTGAGGTGTTCATCCATAAAGTAGACGGTCTGTCAGACGACCACAAAATAGAAACGCAAAGAGACGTTCATCAGAGGGCCAACGATGATCTGGCTGACGCTGCTCTGGAGAAGCTTCACCTCAGGTGAGTATGTGACACGTCTGCACAGGTCGGGTCAGGTCTTTTCAAGTTAGAGAGAAAAATATTTGAAAGAGGATCGCTTCTGAAGATCATGTTGATTTTCACAATTCTAGTCTCAACAGGAAGGATGTGTGTTCTGTGATTAAATACCAGAGAGAGGGAGAGTACAGCTGCTTTCACATATCCACTCCTGAAAATATCTGGAAAAGTTCAGGCTGCCCGTGAAATCTTCTCGAGTACTGGTGAACAGAAAACCTGAACAAAGCAGTTTAATTAAATGCACAGAGATCACAGTGATTGCACGCATACAGTCAACGGTCTTACGCTTGTCAGAGGATCTAAACGTCACAAACCCCTCCCACTCACTCGCCGAGAATTTTCCTGAATATTTTCCTGCTTCGTTTGCCCATCAGCTCACTTCATGCAGAACGTTAATGGCAGGATAAATTCAGAGTAAAGTCGGATTGAAAACATATGACGCTGATACGTTCAGCTCGCCCTGGAAATCTCAGGATGTTTTCAAAGCCTAACCAGGGACTGCAAATTAGCCGTGGCTAGAAGTCCTATAAACATTGCATTGTTTGCACTTTACTTTGATGAAACAATGCCTACATGTATTGTCCCTGATAAATAAATTAAATAAAGGAGTTTTGTGCAAGTATGAAAGCTCAAACAGATGTTGCCACTGAGCAAACAATCTGCAGATTTCAGTGTTAGTCATACTTTCCCAATGTGTTGAGAAACCGTTTTTGTTAGAAGTCTTTCAGCAGTATCAGACATTTCAGGTGTTGCTTTAAACTTTAAAGCTCCTGGTTATGTTCAGTGATATTAGCTCTTTCAGTTCAGTGATATTATTATTGAGGGGTGTTGATGTAATTTAAAGGTAATTTTGGTTTGCTTTGCTTGAGAAGCTTTTCAACTTTACTACAAAGATTCATCCACGCCATTGTTATAAATTAAGTTTGATAGTATACTATTAAAATTCCTGTTTTAGGCGATAATATTTAACAGCAATTGAATAATCACAATAAAGAAATAATCCTTCTTGTTGCTGATGGTCTGTTTTGCTTTGATGAGTCGTATAAAGGATTAATTTCAGTCTGTGTCATAAGTAGTAAGAAAATCTCCTCACAGGGGCTTTAAAGTTTCCATCAAAACAAAGTACAAATGCCAGAGTTGTTCTATTGGTATTCTCAATGATATCTCATCCTGCATACAAAGCTTCCATCCAATCAGATGCTTTATTGAATTGTTCTGTCCCTTTGATCACTCGTGTCGTGTCTTATCTCTCCTTCTGTCCGCGCTCAGCTTCTACCTAACCAGCATCTACGATCACTCCATATTCGAGGCCTTCAGTAAAGTGGTCCAGAAGCTCATTCCTCAGTTACCGACGCTGGAAAACCTTTTGAACATTTTCATATCTGTGAGTGCTGTAGTGTGATTGTTTGTTTATTGATTTGTTAATCAACACTTATTGTGAAGGGGTCAGACAGCTAATCAAGGAGATCATTTCAATCGATCTCGAGGTACCTTAAACAAAATGTCTAAGCCTTTATCTCATGTTTTTTGTTCTCCGGACAGTTGTCATTAAAAGTCATGCTTGTAGCTGAAGAGATAACAAAGAATACCTGTTTATTTTTCTGGTTTTTTGACCTTTGACGTTGAACCCATGACAGCTGCAACGAGGACTACAGCCTCTGTACTTCGGGTGCAGGACTTAACCGCTAGGCTCTCTGCCGCCCAAAAATATACCTGTTTTTAAGTAGCTGCTGCGATGGTACCGTATTAGGCTCACTACTTTTTCTGTTTGCATGCGAGCACAACATTAAAGGACACATGATGCTGTCATTTTTCAGAGAGTGTGTTCATGTTGAAGGATGTTCATAACTCTGATATTATAATGTTTAAAGGTTATACCTTATTTCCCAAACTTTTCAAGACTTAATAAATATTCTGTAAATCCATTTTAATCTCTCCGTGTCTCATCTCATGCGACCATCCTCCATGTTTTGCAGCATTCTGGGATCGAGAAAGCGTTCTTGTTCGATGTCGTCAGTAAGATCTACATTGCCACAGACAGCTCTCCTGTCGACATGCAGTCCTATGAAATCTGCTGCGATATGATCGACGTCGTCATCGACGTCTCCTGCATTTACGGGTGGGAAGAATTGCCTTAGTTTCAAGATGTTGGCAGTGACTTGTGTTCTCGTTATGTGAAGTTAAAAAAGTTGCCTCTCTCTTGTCTCCCTCTGGGCAGGCTGATGGAGGATGGCAGCGGCTGTGCCTACGACAAAGAGTCTTTGGCCATCATCAAGCTCAACAACACTACAGTGCTTTATCTGAAAGAGGTCACAAAGTTCCTCGCTCTGGTCTGCATCCTCAGAGAGGAGAGCTTCGAGAGGAAAGGTGTGACGCTTTAGATTTTATAAATGATTACGTTGACACTAGTGAGAGTGGTTTGATTCTACACGTTTGTCCTGAATGTAAGACTTTAATGGTAAGTCAAAGGAGAAGTGTGTAACTCTGACACCTAGTGTTTAAAATGGGTACCGCAGTCTAAATTCTAAACATTGGAGAGAGCTGTCTCCCCCCTGCCCCCTCCTCTGTAGAGTTCATGTGCAAGCAGGTCACCATGTGGTGGACTCTGAAGCTTCAGTGTTTATCCAGCTCTGCATGGGTCTGTAAACCTTTCTGTGTTCTAACCTCTCTCCATTTTTCAAAAGCATCTCCAATATTGATCCTAGTTTGAGCACGTTTCTGCTCGTGGAGCTTATTAGAAACATGCAGAGGCTTTTTATCTCGGGTACAATCTCTTGCCCACTGTCATCGCTGCAACACCTGTTGGTTTGCTGTTTGCCTGGCAAACCAAAGGGGGGCGGGGCAAAACGGCTGTGTGGGGGCGCCCCCTACTTCTCTTGGTCAAAACAAAAACAAACCATTCTGCACTGGACTCAGAGGTGACTCAAAAAGTGAGGGTACAAACATGGAAGGGGAGTCAATCGACTAGAAAATGAATGAACTATTATCATGTTGTTGTTTTAGAGGAAAGCTAGTTCTTGAGTTTGTTGACCCTGGAGTATTTGAGTGTAAGAATGCTTTACAACAACTTATTTGTCCTCTCTGCAGGTCTGATAGAGTATAACTTCCACTGTTTCCGAAAAGCCATCCATGAAGTGTTTGAGGTGGGCGCCTCGACTCAGCGTGTCGGCCCGTCGCACAACAACCAGACCAGCCTGAAGTACGCCTCCGTCAACGGAAACGCTCTCTGAAAAGGCCGAGCGGAGACAACACACAGGTGGGACCATGTGGAGAAAAGAAAGTATCCTGTCAGACAAACGATGCCCTTCTGTGTGAAGCTTAATTTTGAAAGAAGCTGAGCTGCAGATGAGCTCTTAACGACGGATGATAAATCTGACCTACCCGCTCGCTCGTCCTCTTCTGGTTTCACGAGAGGAGAAAAAGGGGTCAAAGTTCAGTTGTTCAGACTCATCTGTCGAGGTGAGAGAAGCAAAAAATAAAATGTTTTTTTTTTAAACCGCTCTCTGAGCATTTTCCTGTATTTAAATATCAAAGATTTCCGTCAGCTGTGTTTACCTTCTTGGCCAGTTAATTCAGTGTACTCTGCAAAATGTTGACGAGCTCGATGTCAAACTGAGAAACATGGACCTCAGCTCGACCTGTATTTCCATGAACTCCACTTTACACTTTAAAAACCAATGTGATCCATGTTCCTGCATATTTAACCTTCAGATATGGACTTCTGCGAGGGGATTTAACCACCAACGTGTTTCTTCTTCTCTGTGCTTCTGTTGATAAGAAACGTCTCCCCACAGATGGGACGTGTGCCAGTGACCCCATTAGAGCTTTTGATCAACAGGCTAAAAGGGCCAAAAAAAACAACCAATCAAATCCTTTTTTCTCTGACATCCTGCGTCGACTTCTTCTAGGTGATGAATGTTTAAACCGAATTCTCTTCTCAGAGTTTCAGTTAGTAGCAAATGTTTTTACGTTCCTCGTTTAGTGTGTGCGGGACCCGAGTAATGATTCAGACACCAGGATGATTTGTTTTTTGTTATTGTACATAATTCTTGAATAAAATATGTTTCTTAATTTGCTGAGTCGTGCTTACTTGCATCCTTGATTTTGGAGGCCGCCAGGGGACATGAAATTCTCTCAAAGGTTATTTTTGCTTCTCATCATGAGTAAGTTAAGACACTAAAAGTTTTCCTTTATTGAAAACACTTTATTGAAAATGGGGGAAAAAATGAATTAAATTGATTTATGACAAGTTGTAGCTTTGGGCTAAATAAGTTTGGATTGTTCAGCATGTTCATTTTTGTTCTTTTACCTTCAAGACATTTGAAACCAACCTTGTGGGTTTTTGGAAACTGGGTTGCTGGTGCCATTTTACTTCCTGAGGAGGCGTCCTTGAGCAAGGATCTGAAACCTCTACTGACTCAAGTGCATGTCCTTAAGATCCTGTTTGTGCATGTGTGTGTATTTCAGATTATGTGTGTAGCTTCTCTCCTGTTTCTTCTTGTGCATCCAGCGTCTGTGGAAGCTTTGTAATGACCTTGTTTTAACAGTAGATGGCAGCATACTCGCATGTAAATATTTAACATGTCAGGCCCATTAGAGAAAATCTCATGTCTCAAGTCTTGCCTGTATAATAACTCCAATAAGTAAGTAGGCCTAGTGATTACACACACACACACACATATTGAATCCCTCATCACGTCATCTACACATGTAGTTTTTCCTCCTGACTTAATGGGTGGTGGCAGGATGGAGCCACAGCCGAAGCCTCTAATCGGCTGCAGACCTCCTGCTCACTCCGTGGAAAAAAAAGCAGAGGTCAATGAGAGGGAAAAAAGAGATCTGGCTCTGTGAGATCCTGCAGTTTGCTCCTCACCGCAGAGAAGGATCATGCAGCACTGAAAAACTCACAAGAGTGAGGGGTAAAAGACACAACATGGAGAGTGTGTGACATCTTCAGATTTGTGTATTTAAAGCAGTATTTAACTTCAGCCATGTTGGTATGAGATGATGATGGTACACCTTTTTATAACACGCACTGCAGATTTAAACACTGTCAGTTATTTATCTTAATACTTATTATAATTCATCCTCTGTCATCTCTTATCTCCTGATGAAAGCCACAACATGTGGACTGAATACTTTGAGGGTCAAAGTGTCTTCATGTGTTTTGACAGCTCGACAGGTCAAGAGTTCAGTGAGCCTTCAAATGATGTGTGACGATGATGTGTAATGACAAGTGTAATATACTCTTAGGACATAGTTGATAGAATTCTTTTTTGTGTCACACACAGGTGATGTGTATATGTGTTCATAAAAACACTTATTGTGCAAATCCTGTAGTGGGGAATTTCAGTCAACTGTTATGGAAGCAAATTAAATCGACTTTTTGTGTCAGTTTTTCGTTTTATTGACGCTTGGCAAACATTTTAAATTGTATAAAAAAGAGAGAAAACAGGAGGAAGAGTGGGGGAAAACTGAAGACCAAAAAACATCCGTATAAATAATCAGAGTGTCACTGCACCCTGAAGAAGGCACAAGCTGATACGTTTTATGTTTTTAGCCCGATGAATTGAAGACCTTTTATATATTTTTCCAACCATCCTGAGTGGCTGGATCTGGATTATTTACACTGATGTTTTTTGAATCTTAAATTTTCCTCCACTTTTTTGAAATCTTAAATTGCATCTCACCCACTTACATATCAGACATCCTATTTCTGATGAGAGGTGATTATTTATAGGACGGGTAAACAACTAAAAACGTACAAAACAATATGCACAGGTAGGGAGGGATCATGTTTTCTCAACACATTTATTCATTAAACTAAAAGCAGGCCTACATGGAGGTACATTGTTAATCCATTTTCCCCAAAATGAAGCGTATTTTTCCATTTCTTGAGACACATGTAATTATTATTTCCATTTTAAAGATGTCCATTTTCATTTCCATCCATGTATAAAAAGTTGGGCCTTCAGCAGGACATTTTATTAAGTATTTATCTATTTTCCATCTTGAGTTACATATCCTGACTCTTACAGTCAAAAGGTAATTTCACATTTGAAAATTCATGTATGAATTATTTCCAGTGGGCTTCGACAATATGCAGAACAATACCAGAATATAAGGTAAAGCTTTTCATTTTGGTTTCCACAGTTTTCCCACAAGCAGGGAGCTTATTATCCCTTCTGAGAGGTTGTAACAAAGTACATCATCATCATTTCTTCCAATAAAACTCCCTCCATGTATATGAACTTGTACATTTCCGTAGATATCTCCATATTGATTCAAAAGTGGATGCCATATTGTTGCCCATTCTTCCTCAGGTTGACTCTTTAAATCAACATTTACAACAAACATCAGAAGGGATGGATTACATTTCAGTCATGCAAAATGACAGAGTCCTCAAAAAAGCTTCACTTGTGTTAAAAAAAAGGCTGCAGAGGACATTTCAGTATCATACATCCTATAGAGAGATTATCGTTGGAATTTTCCACTTGGAGAGATGATAAAGTGGTTTGTATCAGCAGCTGGAAACTAAAAAAAAAACCCTACTATATATTTAAAATATTCAGTTACAGCCAAGAAACACACTGACTCTACCTTATGTGTGCTTGAACTCCCCACAAGGTGAAAGAGAGACAGTCAGAGGGAGTGGAGAGACAGGGCTGAGGGAGAGAAGTGGGCGGGGTTTGGAGGAATAGTTTGGTTTTTACGCACCAGACACACACATGCTTCAGTCAGTGGAAACTCGTCACTTACTCTCAGCTCGCAGGAGTCCACGGAGGATTTAATTATCTGTCATACTAGACACCAGAGCAGAGTGCCCAGATCCTGCAGAGAGAGAGAGAGAGGGAGACTCCTGAGAGCATCTCCACAGGCTGCTGATGCGCAAAGAGAGGTACGTTTAAAAACGACAAACTAAACGACTTAAGGTTTCTACTGTCAGTAAAACAATGCTTTATAGATGTATGCTATTCAAAGTGTGTTCACATGAGTTTGCATAGAGGGTCAAAGTCCAGAAGCGTTTATGCCTGTTCCACTGAGGCATGCACAGCTCCTCACCTGAAGCAACCTGGTGCCAAAACGTGAGCGTAATTGACTCATCAAATGACGTTTTAATAACTTTTACTCACGTTTTTTAGTCAACACGAGAAGGCTTTAAAAATAACTGTACCACTTTCTATGAGAAGACGAAATAATACTAAGATTTATCAAAGGGAGAATCATTTATTTAAGCTGTTAGTTGAGTAACTTTCACAGGAGAATGAATGTAACGGCATGCTGGTAGAATTTCATTTGGATAAAAAGTGCTGCATTGAACCTGGTCGTCCTGGTTGAGTTAATATCATATTTAAACTCACTACAGAATTCCTTTGTGTTGATTTTTGCAAGTGAAACACCTGCCTGCAGGGGTTTTCTCAGCTGTGCAATCCAAAGTTTGTTCCTTTAAATGACTTATAAATAACATTTAAAGCCATAGAAAGTTATAAATCAATAATATGAGTATCCATCAGAAAGTGAACAAACAACATTAAACGAATAATCCTCCTAATCATGAAATATCTGCACATTATCGAGGCCGCATAATTGACCTCCCACATCCAGGATGTTCCAAAAAGGATGTTCTTTCTTTGGAGTGAGGATATGGTGGATGTTATTGGGGGTTGGGGGCCTGGACAGGGTCCTATAAGTGAGGTAACTGATACCGTGAATAAGTGCTGCAGCCCATATTTTTTTCAACTAGGATTTTATGAGGAGAGGAACAAGGGGACCTTTGAAGAAACAATCCTCCGCTTTATTGTGTTTCTGAACGAAATGGATGCAAAAAAAAAATGAAGGTTCTGTGTCATGAGAATAAAAGCTGAATCAGTTGTGCTTTTAAAGGCTTGTTAACAAACCATTCAGTCCTGTTCTGTTGGAGTGATGTCATGTTTCAGATTACACATTTTCTTCTGGAGTCTCAGCGAACCCCCCCAAACCCCCCCAAACCCCCTCCAGCACCTCATAGTTTCCATCACCGCACGCCGTCCCCTCACCACCATCATCACGCTCTGATCCCTTGAGTGAATTTAATAGATTCATTGTAACACTCCAGCTCTGGTTGCACGCAGCACCTAAAGAAATGTGACTCTGTGTTTGTGTGTGTGGCACTAAAAAAAAAAAAAAAAAAAAGGAATTCCTCATTTTAGTCTTTTTTTAGAAAACAGAGGGCGGGAAAAAAAAGGCTTTTCTTCTTCTTCTTCTTCTTCTTCTTCTTCTTCTTCTTCTTCTTCTCAGAGTTGCAACCGCACGATCCTGCCACGTTTTGACCACGGTCACATTCCTTTTGAAATTCTTGCGTTGGGCGAAGGTTGGCCCAGTCCGCCAGTGCACAATAACTGAGGACAAGTTAGCTACAGTTGAAAAAAATAGACGATGAAGGGAGATGATGCTGGATTGTCGAGGGACTAGTGGTCATAGACGACAGACGCTGTCATCATGAGTCAGTCCCACTCACACCACTGTCTTTTCCATTTCCCATTTCCGCTGTAAAGCCTGGGAAGAGTGTCAAAGGAGTCGTTTGACATTTGAGGAAACACGTTGATTTGGTTTCTTTGCTGAGATTAAACAACAAGCTTGATGGCAGTTTTACTAAATACGTCGCTGGAGGCTGAGCTAGCTAGCATAAAGATAAAGACAAATAGTTTCGCTCAATGGTCGCAAAACTGTATTCAAAGCTCGATCCAAAGGCAACTGGACCTTTTCACCTCTCCACCGAAAGACTTCTTCTGAGCTAAGCTAACCGGCTGCTAAGCCTAGCTTCAGTTTCATCGGAACAGCATGCAAAGGGTTGGCTTTCTAACTTTGGAAAATAAGGTCAATTAAAACATTACCTGAAATGTCAACTGCTCCTTTAATGAGTTAGATGATGATCCAGCCTATAGCTCCATCCCCAAGTTTACATCCGGATCACCAGTTCTCAAACATCATCTATCGATCATTTCAGAAGGATTAAACATTTTTCTACCTGTGGTTCTTTCCTTCTCTTGTTCTCAGCCAACTGTCAGCCGTTCTTCGTTCATCCAAAGTTAAAGCTCTGAATCAGAAGTCAAAATAAACCTGGCAGCTAACATGAAGTAGAGACGGCCGGCCCAGTCTGTCAGAAAACAAACGTTTGTCACCATTAACACCCAGGTCTTGAACCGTCCAATGCCAGCTGCAAGCCGATGGGAAAATATGTTTACTCGTGTGTTTGCTTTGGATAACAGTCGCCGATCATGGCCGGCTGTCTATTTGCGACGGCCTGCGAGCACAATCCAAGTGCAACAAACATCTCTGCCAAAAGTAACTTCACTGACGAGAGGCCCACTTATTTTAAGAGACTCCACGACCACTTGATTACAAACCATTTGATCTTTCTCTCGACTTCCGTTGTTTCCCCTCGTCGTTCTCTGAGATGAAGATGCTTTAAGCACAATGTGTGTGTGTGTGTGTGTGTGTGTGTGTGTGTGTGTGTATGTGTGTGTGTGAGAGTCTACTCGTCAGTCCAGAACATAGTTAAGAAAACTGTTTTTTAACACTCATTCAGGATCCTAAGGGAAACAAATCTACTGATTCCAGACTTTGTCTAAAGCATTTCTGGAGAAGAAGTTTTCATTTTAAACTTTGTCCAACTAATCACCTGCTTACTGAATGACATCATCAGTCAGCCAAACGTACAAAAATCGTGTAGTGACACAACTGTAGCATGAAGTTACAAATATGAAGATCAAATGTGTGTGAAATTCCCTTTATGAGCTTTCTGGCTTTTTTTTTCCCAGATCAGATTTTTCTCCTCTCACAGTTTACAAAAAAATTTGACTACAAGTTGACTGAATTTCCAAACTTAATGTGATGACGAATGTGTAAAGTCAAACCCCGAGGGAAGACCATGAAACATCGTTGAAGCCTATTGCAGCTTATGACCAAACTTGTTGGAGTTTGGTCGAGTTTCCTTGTCGTGGGAATTCACATTGATCAATGAGATGAAAGAGGCAAGAAATTAATTATTTAAAAGTAAACTCAAAAAAGAAAACGTCTTCACTTGAGGTCCCTGAGCGATAGTTTTGGATCCGCTGTTGCAGGTTACTGTGAGTTGAAGACATGACACGGTGGTGACTTGTTTACTTGTTGTCTGACTCAGATTGTTTGCCGGTTTACTCGTCAGCCTCGGAGGTGAAACTGCAGCTGTCGCCGTCTCATTGGATAAACAGACAGCCAGCTGGATACTCGTAAAACAAAGCCAGACGTGCCCTCTGTCTGCTGAGGTGTCTTATTCTCTGATGTTATAGCTCTACTTTTACAGGTTATGTGTCATTGATATACAGTGAAGTATGATACAGTATGAGTTAGCTTATTGAGGTTGCGATATCAGAATTGAAAACAGTAATTCATCCCATTGAAGTATTTAACCGGAGACAAAATGTGCCTTGTTTTCTTTTAAACTTTTGTAAATAAAGTCAGACATTTATGACTAAAAAGCATTTTCATCACATGTTGTAGGCCAAATATGACCCTGTTGTTGAGCTGTTATTGTCAAAACTATTTGAATATGTGTACACAGATCCACAAATGCGTAAAAAGATCCACAAATGCGTAAACTAATCTGCAAATATGTAGACCAATTTCAAAATATTTAATTATATATTAATGGCAGTGAACTTTTTCAGCTGTAAATCCTGAAAATACACACAAATGATCGCTTACAACTGAGGCGGGCCTCTCCATTGGCTGCCATTTTACTGTTATTGTCAGTAATGCGTAACGACACTGATGATTTGATACTTTAAATACATAAAGCAAAGATATTATCTGAACAGATTTCCTTCAGAAACTGTTTGAAGCAGCTCTTCGCCCTGATGAGATCTTTAATCAGCAACAACAACAAACACACAATGGGTGTTCATTTTGATTTGTGTGCGTGCAGGCCTTGTGATCTGCAGGAAGCCACAGCACATTGAGCGTCTTTGTACTGCGGGATGAAAGGGAGCGCAGTCATCTGACGGCCATAAGAGACCAGCCTTGTTGTTTCTGGGTTTTTTTCTGCAACACTTTATAGCTGCAATAATGAGGGTGTCACTTTTTCCTCCAATGCTGCAGGGCTCCACCGTTGCCATATTGTGTCGCCATCAATTATTCTTATTCATCTCGTCAAATCCAGGTTATGTAACCCAAGAGAGACACACAATATGAGGACTGTGCTGAGCGTCAGAGGCCATTCAAGTGCCCTAATCCATTTCAGAGGGAGGGGGACAAAAAACAGTAAAGAGGGGTGGTAATTAACAAAACAACTTGGTTACTCACTTTCCTGTTTGAACTGAATGGACGCACAGTCTGGGGGAAAGGTGTTAGCCAGCTAAAGAGAAAGCAGTGATTTAAAGTTTAATAACTGAGAGAAAGAAGCAATCTACAGCCAGGCGAGCTGACCTGTAAGGTTCTGCTTGTGCACCATTTCAAAAAGGCCAAAGGAAACTGTTAGTATCTCTAACTTTGTGAAAACAACTGGAGGTTTCAGCAAAGACTGAGAACACATTATTAACACTAATACAACAAACGCAGTCATTTAAAATCAGAGTTTTCTTGCACACAAACAATTCCAAAAACACTGAAAAAGTGGCTCTTATGCGTTATTGGATCTTCAAGGTTTGAAGTGGAGATAGACACTTTAAAACAAAACATGGATGCTCCCAAATACACAAAACAAAAATGACATAAATGCAATAAAATCCTTCTGTTAAAACTCCTATAAGGCGACCCATAGGGCTAACAACAAACACCACAACAAACTCACAAACTGACCCAATAAAACTCACTACACGCCTTACCAAAGTCAAAACCAAAGACAGTTATCTTGAGACCCTTTCACGCATACTGTACACT